ATGGGACCAATTGCTCACATGGACCATGGCCTCACCTATCCAGAGACCAGAAGAAGTGGATGGTGTCTGGCTGCTACTACCAACCGTTCTGACTGGGGCCACAATAGATGGTGCCAGATAGAATGGGAGAAAATTGTAGAACAAAATTCTAAGTCTTAAAAAAATGGCTATGGAAACTCCATAGACACATCCAAACGTCCTGAGGGACCGAACTTCTAGGCCGAGAGATGTGGGGACCATGGTCTCGGGGAACATCTAGTTCAACTGGCCTAACACAGTTTACAAAGAAAATGTTCTACATTCTACTTTGGTGAGTAGCGTCTGGGGTCTTAAAAGCCTGTGAGCAGCCATCTAAGATGCTCCACTCGTCTCACCCCTTCGGGGCAAGGAAGAATGAGGAAAACTAAAGATACAAGGGAAAGATTAGTCCAAAGGACTACCGGACCATAATTACCATGGCCTTCACCAGACTGAGTCCAGTACAACTAGATGGTGCCTAGCTACCACCACTGACTGCTCTGAGAAGGATCACAATAGAGGGTCCCAGATAGAGCTGGAGAAAAATGTAGAACAAAATTCTAACTCAAGAAAAACGACCCAACTTACTGGTCTGACAGAGACTGGAGAAACCTCGAGAGTATGGCCCCAGACACACTTTTAGCTCAGTTATGAAGTCACTCCCGAGGTTCACCCTTTGGCCAAAGATTAGACAGGCCCATAAAACAAAACGAGACTAAAGGGGCATACCACGCCAGGGGCAAGGACTAGAAGGCAGGAGGGGACAGGAAAGCTGGTAACAGGGAACCGAAGATTGAGAAAGGAGAGTGTTGACATGTCGTGGGGTTGTCAACCAATGTCATAAAATAATATGTGTACTGTTCAATGAGAAACAAGTTTGTTCTGGAAACCTTCATCTAAAGTACAATTTTAAAAAATTATAATATATATATGTAAAAGGCAGACTTACTGGACCAGAAGAGATTAGGGGAACCCCCAGGACTATCACCCTAAGATACCCCTTAAATTTTGAACTGAAACTACTCGCAGAAGTCACCTTTCAGCTAAATAACATATTGGCTCATAAAATAAACAATATCACCCATGAGTACTGTGTTCCTTTTCATTACAAAAAAAAAAAAAAAAAATCTATATGAAACTAAGCGGTCAACATTTACCCTAAAGTAAAAATGAGAAGATCAGAGGGGGCAGAGAAACAAGAATAATGGAAACAGAACAACCAGATTAGAAATGAGAATGTTGACACAGTGTAGAAAATGTAACCAATGACACTGAACTATATGTATCTTCTTAAATGGGAACCTAATTTGCTGTGTAAACTTTCACCCAAAACTCATTAAAAAAAAAAAAAAAAAAAGCTTTATTGAGATATAATCCATATACCGTACAATTTACTCATTTAAAGTGTATAATCCACTGGTTTTTAGAATATTCAGGGTGGTGCAACCATCACCACAATCAATTTTAGAACATTTTCATCACCCCAGAGAGAAATCCTGTTAGCAGTACTCATTAACAGTCACTCCTCATTTTCCCTCCAATCACCCTCCCCCTACCCTCCCCATCCCTACTCCCTACCCTAGGTAATCAGCAATCTACTTTCTGTCTCTATAGATTTGCTTACTCTGGACATTTCATGTAAATGTAATCACACAATATGTGGTCTTTTGTGACTGGCTGATTTCACTTAGCATACTGTTTTCAGGGTTCATCCATGTTGTAGCACATTTTCAGTACTCTAATTCTTTTTATTTTTGAATAACATTCCATTGTATGGATATACTACATTTTTTAAATCCATTCTTCAGTTGATTTGGATTGTTTTCTCTTTTTGGCTACTGTGAAAAATGCTATGAACATTCATGTACAAATTTTTGTGTGGATGTATGTTTTCATGTCTCTTGGGCATATAATTAGGAGTGAAATTATTGGTTATTATAATAACTCAACGTTTTACCTTTTGAAGAACTGTCAGACTGTTTTCCAAAGTGGGTGCACCATTTTACATTCCCATCAGCAGTCTATGAGGCTTCCAATTTTCTCCACATCTTCACCAATACTTGTTATTTTCTGCATTTTTGATTACAGCCATCCTAGTAGGTGTGAAGTGGGCATTCAGCTGTTTGGTGGACTCAAATTTTTTATCCCTCTGAAGACATTGTTTTTTAAAATTTTCATTAGTTCCCTGAATTGTCTCTATTTCCTTAAGTCTTTGTTCAATTTCTGCCTTTCCATTTGGAAGCATTTCTCAAATATCTTATGATCTTTGGCTAGCCATTCATATTTAAAACTCAAAAACTTACTGAAAAGTCTAGGTTTATGAATGGGCCTTTTGGATGTGTGGCCACCCTGCTTTCTCACACAGAACCCCCAGATTAATTACAGATCTTTTCTCTTGGGCTATTTCGTTTCTCCAGAGAAGATTATTTATCTCCTTTCTGGGTCTATGATTACATCAGACGGTAGCTCTAGAGACAGGGCAGGAAAAGGAGCTTGTAGTTCCATCACTCAAAATGAAAACATTATGTAATCTTTCTTACTTTAGATCTATTACTTACTTTAGCGCCTACTAAACACCAAACCTGCTGTCCCTGAGTCCAGAGCCTCACATCTCCAAATAATAAGCCTTCACTCTTGAGGTGTGTTAGTAAAGAGTTAAGTGCCTGATTATGAAAGACAGAGTGATCTGGGAAGGTCTCACAGCTCTATATTATGACTTTAAAGGACTTCCTTGTTTTTAGCTCCACACTTGAACAATGAGTTTTACAGTAGCAGGTTGCTTCAAATCCCAAGACTTTCTTCAGTTCTGTAGGGCAGATAATTTCCTTTCACACTATTTATGTCTCCAGGCACACAGAGATACTTATCTCTTTCCATGATCCACAAACTTGTTAAAATTCTTTTTTGCTTTTGTCCTCTCTCCTATACTTTGACCTGATGAATTTACATTTTTAAAAATGCCTTTATTAACATTTGTGTTAAGTTTTGAGATGATATGTGTTTAGCCATTTAGCAATGTTTAATTTTTTCTGTTATGAAGAGAGCTTAATCAACTGAAGATTAGTTATGAGAGTAAGGTTTGCATACTGACAACTAACTTTAGCAATCGTTCTGATTTAAAAAATGATTTCAAAATTCAAATCTGTTAAAATATTTTGTTCAATAAAACATAATTCAAATAGAAATTAAAAAATTAATATGGTTTTACCCACAGACTGGGAAAAAATTTTTGGCTACGGCAAATCCGATCAGCATCTAATCTCTAAAATCTACAAGATACTGCAAAACCTCAACAACAAAAACACAAATAACCCAATTAAATAATGGGCAAAGGAAATGAACAGGCACTTCACCAAAGAAGATATTCAGGCAGCTAACAGACACATGAAGAAATGCTCATGATCATTAGCCATTAAGAGAAATGCAAATCAAAATTACAATGAGATATCATCTCACCCCAACAAGGCTAGCATTAATCCAAAAAACACAAAATAATAAATGCTGGAGAGGTTGTGGAGAGGCTGGAACACTTATACACTGTTGGTAGGAATGTAAAATGGTACAACCACCTTGGAAATAAATCGATTTGGTGCTTCCTTAAAAAGCTAGAAATAGAAGTACCATACATCCCAGCAATCCCGCTCCTTGTAATATGTCCTAGAGAATTAAGAGCCATCACATGAATAGATATACGCACACCCATGTTCATTGCAGCACTGTTCACAATAGCAAAGATAGAAACAACCTAGGTGCCTATCAACAGACAAATGGATAAACAAATTATGGTATATCCACATAATGGAATACTACCCAATGACAAAGAACAATGATGAAGCTGTGAAACATAACATGGAGGAAGGTGGAGGTCATTATGTTGAGTGAATTTAGTCAGTCACAAAAGGACAAATATTGTATAAGACCACTATTATAAGAACTCAAGAAAAGGTTTAAACACAGAAGAAAACATTCTTTGATGGTTATGAAGGTAGGGAGGGCAGGTAAGGGTTATTCACTAACTAGATAGTAGATAAGAATTATCTTAGGTGAAGGGAAGGACAGCACACACTACAGGGGAAGTCAGCATAACTGGACTAAACCAAAGCTAAGAAGTTTCCTGAATACAATTAAACACTTTGAGGGACAGAGTAGCAGGGGTAGGGGTCTGGGGACGATGCTTTCAGGGGACATCTAGGTCTACTGGCATAACAAAGCTTATTAAGAAAATGTTCTGCATCCTACTTTAGTGAGTGGCATCTGGGGTCTTAAAAGCTTGCATCAATTGGTCCCAACCACCTGGAGTAAAGGAGAAAGACGAACACCAAAGACACAAGGAAGGCATTGGCCCAAGAGACAGAAAGGGCCACATAAACCACAGACTTCATCAGCCTGAGACCAGAAGAACTAGATGGTGCCCAGCTACCACCAATGACCGCCCTGACAGGGAACACAACAGAGTCCCGGATGGAGCAGGAGAAAGGTGGGGTGCAGAACTCAAATTCTAGTAAGAAGAGCAGACTTAATGGTTTGACAGAGACTGGAGGAACCCCAGAAAGCACGGCCCCTGGATTCTCTATCAGCCCAGAACTAAAACAATTTCTGAGGCCAACTCTTCAGACAGGGACTGGACTGGACTGTGGGACATAAACTGATACTCATCAGGAGTGCACCTCTTAGCTCTAGTAGATACAAGAGACTAAACGGGCAGCTTCTGTCTAGAGGTGAGATGAGAAGGCAGAGAGGGTTAGGAGCTGGTTGAGTGGACATGGGGAAGCAGGGGTGGAAAGGAGGAGTGTGCTGTCACAGTATGGGGAGAGCAATTAGGGTCACATAACAATGTATGTATAAATTTTTGTATGGGAAAAAATAAAAAAACTAATATGGTTTTAAAGAGATTTCATTCTATTTCTTATATCATTAATTTGCCCATAACTATTTCAGTTATAAATTTTTTGAGGTCACTACCAACTCATTAAATGACTTACCTCTTCTTTTCCTAATGTTAGTAGAACATCTTCATTCAGTGGAATAACTACAGAAACAAAAACAAACAGAATTTATACATACACTTACTTACTATTGAAAAATCAAGAATTCAGTGGTTTTCTAAGATAACCTACTTCCTTTACATTTACATATTATACAACTTTTTATGAGATGTGTGCAGTGTTTACAAAATTATTTCTATTTGACATGTTTACACATATAGCCAACGACTATGTATAATTTTACATAAATGTGATTATACATTTTTGTGTCCTTTTTTATTTTCTTTTCCCAGCCTCCCAAAAGCAAAGATAACAACTATAGTATCCCTCAAATATTTTCTCTAGAGTTATATGATCCTATATATACACATATGCACATACATATCTGTACACACACATGTATGAAGGTTATTTTTGTCATTCCTAGATTTACAAGAATGGGATCATGTCATACACACTATTCCAATCTTGTTTTCATTCAACAAAACCTCCATGGAAATCCTTCCTATTCATCTGGTATGGCTCTAATACATAATTTTATTTTAAATGACTACATAGTATTCCACAGTATGAATATAGCATAATGTATTGAGTGCCTTCCCTATTGACTAAGCATTAACTTTGTGTCTAGTTTTTAGCCACAACAAATAATAATCTAGTAAACATCCTGGAATTAAGGTTCCAAATAAAATTAAGGTTACTAATCAGCTGACCTTGAGATGGAGAGATTATATTGGATCATCCGAGTGAGCCCAATATAATCACAAGGGTCCTTTTAAGTGAAAGAGGGAAGAAAAGTCAACGTCAGAGTGATGTGATACTTTTCTTTTTTTTTAAAAAAAAAGAACATGTCTTTATATACTGGTGGTTTAATCTCTATGGGACAGTTTCCCGGAAATGGAATTTGATAGAGGGAAATGTGCTACTTTGAGTTTTAACAGAAGATGCCATATTCCTTTCTAAAAATATTTCTATGAGCAATGAATAAGAAGTAGTAAAAGATATTAAAAAGATATTTTTTGCCAGTCTGATGAATATAAACTGATATTTTCATTTTGCATAGCAAAATTTAATGTGTTCAATTCTTATTCTTAGAAAAGTTTATCTTTTCTAATGACATGTTATTTGAAATTTCTCAGATGATATGCTACTAAAAATTTTCAAAGCCATCCGCTGTTCTAGAGTGCCTTGTAACAGAAAGGAACTTCTTATATGTACTTCATGGGTCCTATATTGGAAATGGTTATAGGCACCTCCAAGATGGTAACTAAATAATTTCAACAAATGCCATATTCTAAAAATATAAAGATTTTTTAAAATCTCCTTCTTGGCCAGTGTGACCAAGAGTATCATTTCAACATTCATTCAAATAGCTATTTCAACAAATACAATGTTACAGATTCTAAGAAGCCAAAGGTTAAAAAAAAATCTTTCCAGTGTAGCAGGCTGTGGGACTGGCAACCCTAAGCCAGGTAGGTACTTGGCAAATAGTCTGTACGTTCAGTAATATGAAGACAAGGTGTGTATGTAAGAGATGATCCTAATAAGAGAAATACAAATTAAAATTTCTCTGAGATACAATTTCTTATCAATCAGATTGGCAAAAATCTAAAAATTGGAAACATATTCCACTGGACTGATTGTGGGAAGACAGGTATTCTCATACATTGCTGGTGAAAATCATCAGTGTACAACCCCTGTGGAAGGTAATTTGGCAGTATCTAGCAACATTACATATGCATTTACCCTTTGATCTACCAAACACACTTACAGGACTCAACCTCCAGAATACATTGGCAACAATCAAAGTAACATAATAATAAGTCTATTCATTACAGCATTATTTGTATGAACAAAAGATTAGAACAACCCAAATATCCATCAGTTGAAAAACTGGTTGACTAACTATGGTACACCAACACAAAAAAGTATTATTCAACTGTAAAAAAAAAAAAAAAAAAAAAAGGCACGGGGTGGGAGCAGAGGATCTCCATATACGGATCTCCATGATATAATAAGTAAGAAAGGCAAGGTGCAGAACAGTGTTTATAACAAAGGAAAATAGGAAAAGTATAAATTAATACATATGCATATATTTACTTATACGTCATAAAGAAATAATACAAGATTAGACCACAAATTAACAAAATACTTACGGGGGAAGAAGGAACAAGGTGGAAGAGACAGGAATAAAGCTAGTCTATACCTTATTGTCTAGTTTTGACTTTGGAGCTATATAAATGTTCTACATGATTATAAACCAGGATGCAATCAAAAAGGAAAAAAAAATCCCTAAATAATTGAAATCAAATTGAAAGAAATGAACTTAACTGTATGTTAAGTCAGGAGCACAACCACGGGGAAAAAAAAGAATGGCTTTTAGTGGCGTTAAATTATGATTTATTACGAGCAAGATTGAATATATTTCTGAATTTGAACAGACATTAGAAAATAGTAAATAATTACTAATTATGTTAGCTACAATAATGAAATTATTAAAAAAAAGTTGCCTTTGAGTCGATTTCGACTCATTGAGACCCTATAGGACAGGATAGAACTGCCCCATAGGGTTTTCGAGGCTGTTATATTTAAATACAGTCTTTACCTGCTAAAGCTACATACTGAAATATTTCTGTCATTTGCTTTAAATATTACAGCATGGTGTGGGGAGGATTGGGGAGTGGATAAACAAGATCGAAAACTTCTGGTCTAGGACCAAGATAGAATAGAAATACTTCCTATTCCTCCCATTAAGTACAGCTAAAAACTCTAGACATTATATGTAAAACAAACATAAAATGACTTAAAAAAGTAGAGAGTAGACGGCAGACAGACGTTGGGACCTGAGGAGCAATGTAACGGAGAGTTCTTTTTGCCTCATATACCCTCGACTAGGTGCTGCAGAAGACAGCAACTTGAAAATGCAAACAGCAGCAGACAAAAAAAGCACCAAGCAAAGTCTGCTCTCTCCAGTCAAAGGACCAGGAAAGAAGCCAACTAGCAAGACAGAAAATTTTTAGACAATGTGGTAGGCAGAAACATGCCCACAAAGATGTCTTAATCCACAGAATTGTGAATGTTAATTTACATAGCAAAGGGGAATTAGGGTTGCAAATAAAATTAACATTGCTAATCAGCTGACCTTGAGATGAGGAGATAATACTGGATCATCCATGTGGGCCTAATCACAAGGGTCCTTATAAGTGAAAGAGGGAAGAAGAAAAGTAAATTTTAGAGTGATGTGATATAAGAAAGACACTACTGGCCATTGATAGCTGTGAAGATGGAAAGGGGCCACAAGCCAAGGAATGTGGACAGCTTCTAAAAGCGGAAAGGCGAAGTAATAGATTCTCCCCAACAGTCTCCAGAAAGGAATGCAGCACTGTCAATGCATTGATTTTAGCTCAGTGAGACCTATTTAGGAGTTCTGATATCCAAAAATGTAAAATTATAACTTTGTGTTGTTTTAAGCCACTAAATTTGTGGTAATTAGTTATAGCAGCAATAGAAAAGTAGTACAGAAAATAACCCCCCTACCCAAGCCAAATATCATGGAAAAAAGTCTCACCTCCACCCATCAGCAAAGGTCAAGTAGGGAGCCTAGACTTTCACCTTTACCCATCTTTAAAGGCAACCCCCATTATCTCCACCAGGGTGGTATCAAAGAAGTCTAAGTGGGGAGTCAGGACTTTCATTCTAGCCCAGGAGTAACAAGCACCCCTCTCCTCCCCTCTCCTCCACTGGGTTAGTGGAGACCACGTGAGCATCCTAGACTTTCACCCTCACCCAATGGTAATGCAGGATCACTCCCCTTCCCTGCTAGAGTCAGGCTGAGTGGGACACTAAAATTTTTACCACCATTCCGTGATAATGAGGCCTTCCCCTCGCAGTGCAATGTTAGCAGAGGTCATGTGGGAGCAATAACAAGACATCCCTCCACTTTCCAGCCGGAGTGATGTATGCAGAGGTCTACTGAAGAGCCTGAAACCTCACCTCCACCCAGCAGTAATGAGGCATTCCTGACCCCCTCCCAGTATTCTCAATGAAGGCTAAGTAGAGAACCTGAACTTTTACACCCACCTGGCAGTAATGAGTCATGCCTTCCTCTCCGTGCCAGCACAAATGATAGAGAAGGCTTATTAAAACAGAAGATTTAAATAAGATTCAGAGTCCTATGACATAATATCTAAAATGTCCATGCTACAGTAAAAAATTACCAAGGACCAGGAAAATCTGAACTTGAATGAGAAAATACAATTAAAAGTGACTTAAACCAAAATAACACATAAGCTGGCATTATCTGACAAAGATTTTAAAGCACTGGTCATAAAAAATGCTCCAGCAAGTAATTACAAACATGTTTGAAACAAGTGAAAAAAACAGGCTCAGCGAAGAAATAAAAGACATAAGGAAGAACCAAATGGAAATTTTAAAGACTGAAAAATATAATAACTAAAACAGAATGAGACTCATTGGATGAGTTCAACAGCAAAATAGAGACCAGAGGAAAGAAGCAGTGAACTTAAAGATAGAACAATAAAAAGTACCCAATCTGAGAACATCTAGCGCAACTGGCATAACATAGTTTATAAAGAAAATGTTCTATATTCTACTTTAGTAAGTAGTGTCCGAGGTCTTAAAAGACTGTGAGCAGCCATCTAAGATACTCCACTGGTCTCACCCCATCTGGAGCAAGGGAGAATGAAAACAACCAAAGACACAAGGGAAAGATTAGTAAAAAGGACTAAGAGACCACAACTACCACAGCCTCCACCAGATTGAGTCCAGCACAACTAGGTGGTGCTCGGCTACTACCACCGACTGCTCTGACAGGGATCACAATAGAGGGTCCCGGACAGAGCTGGAGAAAAATATAGAACAAAATTCTAACTCACGAAAAAAGACTAGACTTAAACTGGCCTGACAGAGACTGGAGAAACCCCGAGAGTATGGCCCCAGAACACCGTTCAGCCAAAGATCAGACAGGCCCATAAAACAAAACGAGACTAAAGGGGCACACCAGCCCAGTGACAAGGGCTAGAAGGCAAGAGGGGACAGGAAAGCTAGTAACAGGGAACCCAAGGTCGAGAAGGGAGAGTGTTGACATGTCGTAGGGTTGTTAACCAATGTCACAAAATAAGATGTGTACTAATTGTTTAATGAGAAGCTAGTTTGTTCTGAAAACCTTCATCTAAACTACAATAAAAAAAAAAAGTACCCAAACTGAGAATACGGAGAGAAATGGACTGAAAAAACAAAACGAAAACAAACTGAACAGAACTTCAGGGACTATTTAAAAAAATAATAATAATAAGATCTAACAATTGTGTCATTGGAATTCCAGGAGAGGAGAAAGATGCTGGGGCTGAGAAAGTATTAAAAGAAATAATGACTGAATATGCCCAAAATTTGCCAAAAGACATTAACTCACAGATTCAAGACTCTGAGTGAATAGGGTAAACTCAAAGAAATCCATGTCAAAACATATAATTAAATTTCTGAAAAGTGAAGATAAAAAAAAATCTTGAAAACAGCTAGAGAAAAACAATGCTTGCCCTATAGGGGAAAAATAATTAGAATCAGCATATTTCTCATCAAAAACCAGGGAGGCAGAAGGAAATGGCACAACATTTTTCAAGTGCAAAAAGAAGTGTCAACCTAGAATAGTATATCTAGTAGAAATCTCCTTAAAGAATGAAAGAGGAATAAAGACATTCTCGAACAAGGGGAAAAAAAAAAAAAAAAAGAAAATATGTCAACCAGCAGATCTACCCTAAAAGAATGGTGAAAGGAAGTTCTTGAAATAGAAAGGAAATGATAAAAGAAGGAATCTTGGAATGTCAGTGTCATGGACTGAATTGTGTCCCCCAGAAATACATGTATCAATTTGGCTAGGCCATGATTCTCAGTATTGTGTGCTTGTTCATCATTTTGTCATCTGATGTAATTTTTCTATGTGTTGTAAATCATATCTCTATAATGTTAATGAGATGGGATTAGTGGCAGTTATGTTAATGAGGCAGGGCTCAATCTACAAGATTAGATTGTTTCTTAAGCCAATCTCTTTTGAGATATAAGAGAACTGAGCAGAGAGACATGGGGACCTCACACCATCAAGAAAGAAGCACGAGGAGCAGAGCGTATCCTTTGGACTTAGGGTCCCTGTGCTGAGAAGCTCCTCGACCAGGGAAGATTGATGACAAAGACCTTCCTCCAGAGCCATCAGAGACAGAAAGGCTTCCTCTGGGGCCGGCACCCTGAATTCGGACTTCTAGGCTCCTAGACTGTGAGAGAATAAATTTCTCAACTTGTAGAATTTCTGTTATAGCAGCACTAGATAACTAAGAGAGTCTGGAAGAAAGAAAGAACAATGGAAAGGGCAAAAACATGTAACAAAGCTGTCACGAATACCACAGTTACAAGGAAATGAATTCTGCCAACAACCTAAGGGAGTTTGAAAGTAGATCCCTCTCCAGACTTTGGTGAGAACGCTGTCCTAATTGATACCTTGATTTAACCCTGAGACCCTAATTTCTATAATAAAACATCCAATTAAGGGGAGAAAGGCCTGTTATAATAATTTAGAATATCGGTAATGAAGGCCTGAAGTAAGCCTGTGGCAATGTGGCTTAGTGTTTAGTGACTGGCTATACGTGAAATATGAAAAAGAAGAATCCAGGAAGACTCTTAAATTCATGGCTGATCAAATAGATTCTATTCAATGGGTCACAGAATGCAGAGAAGTTCACTTTATGAGTCTGAGGTATCTGTCGAACATTTTGGAAAAGATGTCTTGAAGGGAGAGAGATATATAAGTCTGATGTTGCAGAGAAGTCAGTTTGGATATACAGATTTGGAAATCATTAATATAGATGAAACATATAAACACAGGGGGAGAAATTATAATGCTGGTATAACACGTAGAGTGAGAAGCAAAAAGAGTTGAGTACAGTCCTGTGAAGAACATCACCATTTAACAGTTGAGTATGAGCAGCCTTTGAGACTGCTAAGTAAGCAAAAGGATAAACAGTTTAACACAAATAACAATCATAATTGTATGCCATTACACATCCACCAGAATTGCTAAAATTAAGAAGCCTGACAATAACAAGTGGTAGTGAAGATGTGGAACGATAGTGGACATTGGCATGGATATAGAAATTAAAACCAAGGATGTGGATGAAATTGTCTAGGAAGAGAATGAGGAGAAAAGATAGCCTAGGATTGCTCCTTGGGGTAGAGAAGGATAAGCCTACAAAGGAGACTAAGAAGGGAAGTGGAGGTTAAAGGGAAAACAGAGAGTGCGGGAGGAAAAAGGGAGATACGTACAGAAAAAGCATAATCTATATAATAAATACAGACATATACATGACACACAAAAATTTAGGCTTTTAAAATAGAAAAATACCTGCTACTTGGATATTACTACTATAATTTTTTATAAAAATGTATTGTGGTAAATTATATATAACAAAATTTTTGCCATTTTAACCATTTTTAAGCATACAATTCAGTGGCATTAGTTATATTCATTATGTTGTGCAACCATCACTGTTACTTACTTCCAAAACTTCTTCATCACTCCAAACAGAAACTCAGTACCCCTTAAGGAATAACTCCCCATGTCCCCGTCTACCCAACCCCTGGTGACAACTTATAAGCTTGGTCTCTATGCATTTACCTATTCTAGATATTTCATACAAGTGGGATCATTTGTCTTTTTTATGTCTGACTTATTTCACTCAGCATAATGTTTTCAAGGTTCATCCGTGTCATAGCATGTATCAGAACTTCATTTCTCTTTATGGCTGAATAATGTTCCATTGTATGTATATATCACATCATGTAAACAAACACTTGGGTTGTTTTCACATACTGACTATTGTGAACAACGCTGCTATGAATGTTGGTGTACTCATATCTATTTGACTCTCTATTTTCAAGTCTTTTGGGTATATATCTAATAGTGGAATTGATGGATCTTATGATAATTCTATGTTTAACTTTTCGAGGAACCACCGAACTGTTGTCTATAGTGACTGCATCATCTTACATTCCCATTAGTAATGCACAAGAGCTCCAATTTCTTTACATCCTTGCCAACGTTTTTTTGGTTTCTCTTTTTAATAGTAGCTATTCTAAACCTGTTGCCATACGGTTGATTCCGACTCATAGCAACCTTAGACCCTAGAGGACACAGTAGAACTGCCCCACAGGGTTTTCAAGGAGCGGCTGGTGGATTCGAACTACCGACCCTTTGGTTAGCAGATATAGTTCTTAACCACTTAGCCAGCAGGGCTCCAATAGTCATCCTAGTGGGTGTGAAATAAGTATCTCACTGTGGTTTTGATTTGTACTTTCCTATGACTAATGTAGAGGGCAGTGGTGATTCAGAGGTAAAATTCTTGCCTTCCATGTAGGAGACTTGCAGTCGATTCCTAGCCAATGCACCTCAAGAGCAGCCACCACCTGTCTGTCAGTGAAGGCTTGCATGTTTCTATAATGCTGAACAGGTTTCAGCAGAGCTTCCAGACTAAGACAGAGTAAGAAGAAAGGTCTGGCAATCTACTACATTATGGAACACAATGGTCTGAACTCATTGTGCTTGGCGTTGCCATCAGTTGGAGTCGACTCAGTGGCAGCCAACAACAACGACTCATGAAGTTGAGCATCTTCTCGTGTGCATATAGGCCATTTGTATATTTTCTTTGGAGAAATGTCTATTCAAATTCTTTGCCCATTTTTTAATTGGGTTGTTTGCCTTTTTGTTTGTTGATACAGATACAAATTTTTAGGCCATCTGTGTTTCTCAACTAAAGGCAAAAACAGTTGGCCTGGTCAGACAAGTCTAGAGGCAACCGATAATCTATGTGGTCCTTATGTCAATAAATATCTAAAAATAAATAACTTTTTTCTTTCATTAAGTAAGATCCATTCATTAAAGAATTTATAGTTTCTACTGAGCATAAGAAACCCTGGTGGTGCAGTGGTTAAAAGCTACGGCTGCTATCCAAAAGGTTGGCAGTTCAAATCCACCAGCAGCTCACTGGAAACCCTATGGGGTAGTTCTACTCTGTCCCATAGGGTCGCTATGAGTCCAATCGACTGAACAGCAGCAGGTATTGAGCATAAGGCAGTGTCTGCAAGGATGGCTATGATAAGGTCTCCATGATCAAGATTATTATAATCTAATGTTAGACAGATATGTTCATCTATAATAATAATATAAACAACATGCATATAAAGAAAGAAAAGATGGGGTGGCCTCCTGTTATCAATTTAACTTAGGCAATTTCAGGGAGGCCAAATGAATCCTGTAATTCTTCTTGTGATCATTAAATGCATTTACCATTAATTTATGTACAAAAGCACAAATCTAGAAATAAGAATCTTACTTTTGGGAGTTTCTTTCTGCCATTGATTGAGTTCAGCGGCCAAACATTTCGCTTGCATAATTAATAATGATAGCTACAAAAAAATAAAAATAAGAGAATAAAACAAAGCTACTACTTGTGGAATATTTAAAGCTATTCATACATGAAAGTGTAGACATTTTTAATATTTTAATATAAATTCCTGACATAAATAGCCAACATAACAGCAATTTAAACTATATCAACTCAAAACAGAATTCTACTTTATTCCACACTAATTATAGCTCATAAATTGCCTGTTAAAGCAGTGGTATGATATACAATTAAAAAGTGATAAATTCTGCTTTACCAGTCACATTAAAAGAAAAGAACTCAAGCACATGTAGTTTACTTCCTAAATAAATATTTCTTAAAATAAAAAGAATAGGATGTTATTTACTGTCAACATTTTTTAGATATAGTTGCTTTAAAGATGTTCTTTTTGCTCTCTACATCCTTTTAGAAAAACTGCTACTGACTTTAGCTGAGAAGCTAAAAATAGGTTTAAGTACATACATGGAGATAATTATAAAATTCAACTGGTTCTTTGAACAATACATAAAAACCAGTTTTACTGCACAATTGTTTGTAAATTGTATATCCCTTAGCCAAAGATTAAATTAGGATGAATATATTTTTATATTAGATGATTCTAGTCATTCTAATTTCATTAATTGTAAATCTATGTGATAAATTTACTGACTTGATTAGACCAGAAGACCAAAGTGCCTATTTGCTTAAAATTAAATTTCAGAGCATTTTATCTCTCCTTTATATGAGTCTTACTGAGTTAGAAAACCAAAAGGGAAGAACACTGTCAGCATTTCTTAAACTGAAAGAACTGAAGGGAAAATTCAAGCCTTGAGATGCAGTATTGAAGACAGCTACTGGCTAACTGACTTGAAGAGATCTATATTTGTGCCCATTCCAAAGAAAGGTGACCAAATGGAATGAGCAAATTATCAAACAATATCATTACTATCATATGGTAGAAAAATTTTGCTGAATGCTCCTTAGAAGCAAGGAAGGCAAGACTTCATCTCGCTTACTTTGGACATGTCATCAGGAGGGGCCAATCACTAGAGAAGGACATCATGCTTACTAAAGTAGAGGGTCAGCAAAAAAGAGGGAGACCCTCAATGAGGTGGACTGATACAGTGGCTGCAACAATGGGCTCAAACATAACAACGATTGCCAGGATAGTGCAGGACTTGGCAATATTTTGTTCTGTTATACATAAGGTCGTTAGGAGTCGGAGCTGACTTGATGGCACCCAATAACAATAAATTGGTACTTAGACATATCAAAAATTCACATTTCAAAAATGCAACGGGCATTACTGTACTATTTATACAAAAAGGGTGACAACAGTGTCATTTTTAACCCATAGCAGATCAAAGACTGCTCTGTATCATGAAATTACCTGTTGAAAAATGTCAGAGGAAAAGAGAACCTAAAGTCTCTTTGAAAGCTTTATATAATTATGTAAAAATGCATTTATATAAACACAGAACTATCATATGACCCAGCAATCCCAATCCTAGGTATATACCTAGAAGAAGTGAAAACAGGAATGCAATCAGAAACTTGTACAGCAATGTCCACTGCAGCACTATTCACAGTAGCCAAAAGATGGAAACAACCTGTATGTCCATCAACAGATGAGTGTATAAACAAAATGCACATACATACAACGGAATATTACTCAGTCATAAAGAGAAATGAAGTCCTGACACGTGCTACAACATGGAAGAACCCTGAAAACACTCTGTTGAATGAAATAAGCAGTCACAAAAGGACAAATGCTGTTACGATCTCACGCATATAAAACAGACCAAAGTATAGAGACCGAAGCTTATTAGTCTCTATAAGGCATGTGGGAAGGGGGAAGGGTATTCATTCCTTAGTGGGCACTGAGCTTCTGTTACTGGTGGTGGAATGCTTTGGAAAAGGATAGTGGTAATGATTGTACAATATGAACTTAATCAATGTCAGTTGTACATGTAAAAATTATTGAATTGGCAAATGTTTTGTGATTTTTTTACAATAAAAAATTTAATAATTCGTTATAAGGTTTAAAATCTATACCATAAGAGAGTTTAGTATTTTCTTTTATAGATAATTAAATAAGAATGTGAAAAAGATTTTTGTGATCTATAATATAAATTGATTTACAAGTGTTATTATTATATTATTATTATCAGGAAAGAATTCACAATTTTTAAAAAAGTAGTATTGAAACTGGGCAAAACTATCATATAATGATGAGGATTCCTGCTTATATTAGATTGAAATATAAGCAATTACCAATATTCATTTTTTAACTATTAAAAAACCAGAATTTCATATGGTTCAGCCTTGTACTGTATTATAAAACAGAGCTTTTAGCTAGCCAAAGCCTAGTTAAGGCAAATACTCAAATTATTTCTGATCTGACTATAAAATTAAACAACCCTTTCTAAAAAACGAAATAGCAGTAGTATTTCTAAAGTAATTAAGCTCAAAAAAATTGAGAAAGTCTGCTATTTTTTCATTTAAAATATCTCATTCCTTGCATCAGAAAATGGACTTAGTTTTAATACTGAAGTTTTACAGTTAATAAGTAGGCAGAAAAGAGGTGACATAGCCGGCCTGAGACTGCTATCCTTAAAAAATCCTGCACACAAAGTTAGCCCTTAGCTGGCATTTGGGAGCTGGGATTTCCAGAAGGTTCTAACCAACATAACTGAAAGAACAGCTCACTGTGCCTAAACTGTGGTAACCATGTTGTTTATGCTGATCACCTGCTTTCCTTCTGGAAGTCTGGTATTTTGCTACCTGCTAGGAAGAGGATGCCTGTATGACCAGCACCCAATAAAAACATTAAGCAGAAAGTATCAAATGAGCTTCCCTGGAAGACAACACTTCATACAAGTTATTACAACTTCTTGTTGGGGAAATTAAGTGCATCCTGTGTGAGTCCTCTAATTTTGTTCTTTTTCAAAATAGTTTTGGCTATTTGGGTCTCTTTGCAATTCCCTATGAATTTGAGGATCAGCCTTTCCATTTCTGCAAAAAAAAAAAAAAAAAAAAAATGCCGTTGGTATTTTGATAAGAATTTCCTTGAATCTGTAGATCACTTTGGGCAGTAGTGACATCTTAATATTAAGTCTTCTAATCCACAAACACTGGTCTTTCCATTTACTTAGACCTTCTTCAATTTTCTTTCAGCAATATTTTGTAGTTTTCAGTATACAAGTCTTTTGCCTTCTTGGTTAAATTTATTCCTAGGTATTTTATTATTTTAGATGTATTGCATACGGTTTTCTTAATTTCCTTGTTCACTGCTGGTGATTTTTATGTGTTGATCTTGTAGCCTGTAACTTTGCTGAATTTGTCTACTAGCTCTAGTAGCTATCTTGTGGATTGGATTCTTTTTTTTTTTTCATATTATTATCCCCAATGATAGCCATTATTACTTTTCATGTTCTAATGACACCAAATTTGGATAGCAGGCGCACCTTTAAATTGGCTCCTGAAAGCTGGGCAATGAATAAGGAAGATCGAAGAAAAATTGACACCTTTGAATTATAGTGTAGGCAAAGAATTTTGAGTATACCGTGGACTGCCAAAAGAATGAACAAATCTGTCTTGGAAGAAGTACAGCCAGAATGCTCCTTAGAAGGGAGGATGGTGAGACTTCGTTTCAAACACTTTGGACATGTTATCAAGAGGGATCAGTCCCCAGAGAAGGACATCATGCTTGGTAAAGTAGAAGGTCAATAAAAAAGAGGAAGACCCTCAACGAGATGGACTGACACAGTGGCTGCAACAATGGGCTCAAGCATAACAACAATCATGAGGATGACACAGGACCGGGCAGTGTTTCATTCTGTTGTGTGTAGGGTCTCTATGAGTCGGAACTGACTTGACAGCATCTAACAACAACAACCATCAGTTTTGGGGAATCTTCATTGATATCGTTTGTGTATTGACTTTGCTCTTGGAATTTTTATCATTTCATGCCTTTAAATTTTCATATGGTCAAATATATCTTGGTTTTCTTTCATAATGTCTAGATTTCTACTATTTGACAAAAAGTTTTCCCATGTCCCTGTATTACACATACAGTCTCCTAGTTTTTTACAAGATTTTTCTGGTAACCCATCTGGAATTTATATTGTACCATTATATCATGAAAGACAGAGGTCCAATTTTATTTTCTTCCAGATGGATATCTAGTTGTACCAGTACCATTTATTAAATAATTCATTATTTTCCCATAGATTTGAACTATCATCTTTGTCATATTTTAGATTTTAATCTGTTTCACTAATTGATTTGTCTATTTCTAAACAAATTTCATAGTGCTCTAATTATTACACTGGATATATTAATCTTTTTAAGATTTCACACAGTAATATCTGTAGCTACTGTAACAAAATGTAGGGTAGCCCTTGTTCTAAATTTTTTTTTTAAATTTTATTCATTTTTTCTTTTTATTGTACTTTATATGAAGGTTTACAAAACAAATAGTTTCTCATTAAACAGTTAGTACACATATTGTTTTATGGCATTGGTTAACAACCCCACAACATGTCAACACTCTCCTTTCTTGATCTTGGGTCCCCTATTACCAGCTTTCCTGTCCTCTCCTGCCTTCTAGTCCTTGTCCCTGGGCTGTTGTGCCCCTTTGGTCTCGTTTTGTTTTATGGGGCTGTCTAATCTTTGGCTGAAGGGTGAACCTTGGAAGTGACTTCATTACTGAGCTAAAAGGGTGTCCGGGGGCCATACACTGGGGGTTTCTCCAGTCTCTGTCAGGCCAGTAAGTCTGGTCTTTTTCTGTGAGTTAGAATTTTGTTCTATACTTTTCTCCAGCTCTGTCCGGGACCCTCTACTGTGATCCCTGTCAGAGCAGTCAGTGGTGGTAGCCAGGTACCATCTAGGTATACTGGACTCAGTCTGGTGGAGGCCATAGTAGTTTCGGTCCAATTGGTAGTTGTGGTGCATTGTTCTAATTTTTAACAAGGTATCATAATAGCAGTCAACCAGCAGTTCATTCTGCTATAAAATGTATATAGCTGTTAAAACATAAATTTAAAAAAATTATTTATTTACAATATCTTGTTCAAAAGTCTTTAGAATACCTCTTCTTACTCTTAGATCAGATGGAATAGAGAATTTTTTGAAAGATTAAGCACACCTTAAAAAAAAATATGTTGCCGTCGAGTCGACTCTGACTCATAATGATCCTATAGGACAGAGTAGAACTGCCCCATAGGATTTCCAAGGAGCTGCTGGAGGATTCGAACTGGCGACCTTTTGGTTAGCAGCTGAGCTCTTAACCATTGCGCCACCAGGGCTCCATGATTACAGGTATTAAAAAAGCAATTATACTTGGAAAAAATATAGACAGATACGCTTCTTTCCCAAAACACAATGAATTTCACTTACTTATTTTTAGGAAGGAAAAAAAAAAAGATTCTTACCTGAGCATTTGAGTTGGTAAGTGTCTCCGTGCCAACAAGCGATAATTTATTCTGACACTTGATTTAAAAAGTAAAGAAAAACATGTCACAAACCGTAAGCCATAGACAATTTCCCTCCCCTTTCATACCAGTAAATGTAATAAAAACCTATGGCCGTCAAGTTGATTCCAACTCACAGCAAGCCTACAGGACAGAGTAGAACTCCCCATAGGGTTTCCAAGGCTATAAATCTTTTAAGGAAGCAGACTGCCACATCTTTCTTCCCCGGATTGGCTGGTGGTTTCAAACCACCAGTCTTTCATTTAGCAGCCCAGCACTTAAGCACTGCATCATCAGAGTTCTCTAATGTAAGAAAAGAGTTTGCTTAAATTTGTCACTTCCTAAGCAAGAAGATCAGGAAGGCAGACAAACAGATCCCAAGGTGAATACATCAAAAAAAAAAAAAAAAAAAAGCGTGGGGGGAGAGGAGTACAAAACCCTATACAGAATAAAGTGAGTATAAGGAAATAAAGAAAAAGAACAAAAACTAATAGCTAGGGTGAATTAGAAGCTAGATAATGGAAAAATTGAAGGCAAGAAAATAAGAGGGAAAGTATCATATTAGAAAAATAATAGGTAACAAGGTAGTTAAGATCATAAGAAAATAAAGCCTTTGAGAGACATTGTTTCTGTGCCATTAAAAAAATTCAAAACTGCTGATAGTGATTATATCTGAAAGGTAAAAATATGGGTAATTTAAATTTACTTGTGGTTATTGCAGTATTTTTCTACAAGAAAATTTTATTTTTAAATCTAAACATCTATACTGAAAAAATACCAAAAGCAAAAAAACAGATTCTATAAATCATCTTGAAAAACCATTAATGATACAGAGTAGCAAGGACTTATGTTAAAACTATTTTTAAAAAGAAGAAAAGAGAAAAAAAAAAACCACTAATCCACCCTAATCTGAAACTTTACTGCAAAGTATAAAAAAACCGTTGCTGGCTAGTCGACTCCAACTCATAGTGAAAGAATAGGATGCTAAAAATGTCTGTAGAGTACATCATACATTATGCTAGTTTAAGTAGAATAAATTTTTAGTAACATTTTGTAGTGTATCAAAAGTGGTTCTATCTCATTAACTCAAATTGTACATATACTTCAAACTCAAAATTTTCTAAATTAATTCATGCTTTCATCCAAAGTCCTAACTATGTGTTCTTCTTACTTCTGTAGCCTCTATTTTAGGGAAAAATCCTACCAACCACCCAATGGCTCAAACCAGGAACTTGAAACTATCCATAAAAATTCCCTCCCATTTTATATCCAGTTAACCTCAAGTCCGACCATCTCCTTAGTATCTCTTGAATCCATTCTTCTCTCTTACAATGACAGTATTTAGACCTTCATTATTTCTTACTAGGACTATTACTAAAACCAAGCCTGTTGCTGTCGAGTAGATTCCAACTTATAACAACTGCATAGCACAGAGCAGAACTGCCCCACAGAGTTTCCAAGGCTGTAATCTTTACAGAAGCAGAGTGTCATGTCTTTCTCCCGCCAAGTGGCTGGTGGGTTTGAAATGCAGACCTTTCAGTTAGCAGCTCTGCGCCACCAGGGCTCTCCAGACTACTACTAAAAGTATAAAAGAGCTTCCTAGGGCTACTACTAGAGCTTCCTAAATGTTCTTTTACTATTAATATAACTCTTCTGCATTCCACTTTCTTCACAGTTACCAGATTAATCTTTACAAACTGCATATCTGATCATGTTATTCCATGATTATAATCCTTTAATGACTCCCCATAGTATAAGCTCAGCAAAACCCTTCATGCTCTTGCCCTTGATTACCTCTCCAGTCTCATCCCACAAGTCATCCTTCTCCAAATTTACATTAGCCATGATATTCTACTTACAGTTCTCAAAGCTCTCTCAACTTTCACACATTTTGTTGTTTTTGCTTTGTATATCTCCCCCACCTTCACAGGCTAACTGCTATCCATCCTTTAGAAATGAATGCTTTCATTTAGAAAGCTGTCCTTGACCTCATCAGTCTAGGTTTGACAGCCTTCCTAAGTACAGTCTTTTAACCTCTTCCACAATACTTCTAGTATTGTAGTATAACATAGTATAATGGCTATTGCCTCTATAAGATTGTAATTTCCTTGACAGCAGGAACTGCCATAATTTTTTTGTCTATCTCTCACCTAGTATAGGTCTAAAGATTAATAAATATTTATCATATAATTGCTCTCAGGAGTCAACAAAATTATTTCTTTCCTACATCTAACTTTTATTGAAATAGATTTAAATCTTTTATTAATTGACATATCACTTTTATCTCTTGATACTTACTTCTTCCATATCCTTCCATATTTCTTCACATTCTTCAATAAGCTCTTTTTCAGCATCTGCAACATCATCCACATCTGCAGTATTAACTGGATCTAGATCTTGCTGATTCATTGACATGGTGCTGTATGATTTTCTTAGCCTTATGACAAGAAAAACCAAAGGAAAAATACTTATTCATTCGATAATATTTTTTGAAGACCTATTACCTGCCAGATACTAATCTAGGAGCTAGGGATATAGCAGTGAACAAAATAGACCAAAAATAAATAAATAAATAAAATAATAATAAATAAAAACCCTATTTTGGAGCTTGCTTTCTAGCTAAGACAGATAATAAACCAAAAAGAAAATGAAAAATATATATAGATATACCATAGTATATCAAATGATTTATAAGTGCTACAGAAAAAAGCACAGCACAGACAAGAAACATAGGAAGTGCTAGAGTAGGGACAATATAACTTTAAATAAGGTGGTCATGTAAGGTCACTGAGAAGTTGAGAACTGAGCAAAGACATAAAGGAAGTAAGGAAGTGAGCCACAGGGTATCTAGTGGAAGAGGCTCCAGGCAGAAACAACTGCAAGTGTAAAGGCCTGGACGCAGAAGTATGACTGTTGCGTTCCTAGAGTAGTAAAGAGGTCAGTGTGACTAGAGGAGAGTAAGGCACAAAGTTGTAGGAGATCAGGTCAGAGAGACAACAGGGGTGAGATTATATAGGCTTTGCAGGCTATTTTAAGGACTTGAGCTTTTACTCTGAGTGACATGATAAGCTATTGGAGTTTTGAGCAGAGGAATGCTATGATTCAAATTGTTTTAACAGTATAACTTGGTTAGTTACACACAGTTAGGATAGAAGCAAGGAACCAGTTAAAAAGCTATTGAAATGATCCAAGTGTACAAGGTTGAAGAGTGTCCCCCAAAGATTCAGGTCCTCCTGGAACCTCAGAATATGACCTAATTTGTAAATAGAGTGTTTGTAGATAAAATGAATTAAGATGAGGTCGTACTATAGTAGAGTGAGCCCTAATCCAATGACTGGTGTTCTTATAAGAAAACAGAGACACAGAAAAATACACAGGGAGAACACCATGTGAAAATGGAGGGAGAGATTGGAATGAGGCAGATGCAAGACATGGAATGTCAAGGACTATAAGCAACCACCAGAACCTAGGAGACAGGCATAGAACAATTCCCTCAGAGCCTCCAGAAGAAACCAACGTTGCTGACATCTTGATTTTGGACTTCTAGCCTCCAGAACTATGTTGCTATTGTTGCTGTTAAGCGGCGTTGAGTCAGTTCCAACTCATAGCAACCCTAGGCACAACAGAACAAAACACTGTCTGGTCCTGCACCATCCTCAAAATCGTTGCTATGTTTAAGCCCATTGTTGCAGCAACTGTGTCAATCCATCTCGTTGAGCATCTTCTTCTTTTTCCGTGACCCTCTACTTTACCAAGCACGATGTCCTTCTCCAGGGACTCGTCCCTCCTCATAACATGTCCAAAGTATGTGAGACAAAGTCTCACCATCCTTGCTTCTAAGAGGCATTCCAGCTGTACTTCTTCCATGACATATTTTCTTATTCTTCTGGCAGTCCATGGTATATTCAATATTCTTTACCAGCATCTTAATTCAAAGGCATCAATTCTTCTTTGGTGTTCTTTATTCATTATCTAGCTTTGGCATGCAATGAGGTGATTGAAAATAGCATGGCTTGGGTCAGGTGCACTTAGTCCTCAAGGTGACATTCTTGCTTTTTAAAACTTGAAAGAGGTCTTTTGCAGCAGATTTGCCCAATGCAATACATCATTTGATTTCTTGACGGCTGCTTCCATGAGCATTGATTATGGATCCAAGTAAAATGAAACCCTTGCCAACTTCAATATTTTCTGTTTACCATGATGTTGCTTATTGGTCCAGTTGTGAGGATTTTTGTTTTATGTTAAGGTATAATTCATACTCAAGGCTGTAGTCTTTGATCTTCACCAGTAAGTTTTTAAGTCCTCTTCACTTTCAGCAAGCAAGGTTGTGTCATTTGCATATCACAGGTTGTTAATGAGTCTTCCTACAATCCTGATGTCATGTTATTCTTCATATAGTCCAGCTTCTTGGATTATTTGCTCAGCATACAAACTGAATAAGTATGGTGAAAGGGTACAACCCTGATGCACATCTTTTTTTATTTTAAACCATGCAGTATCCCCGTGTTCTATTCAAACAACTGCCTCTTGGTTTATGTACAGGTTCCACATAAGCACAATTAAGTGTTCTGGAATTCCCATTCTTTACAATGTTATCCAAAATTCATTATAATCCACAGTTGATTGCCTTTGCATTGTCAATAAAACACAGGTAAACATCTTTCTGGTATTCTCTGCTTTCAGCCAGGATCCATCTGACATCAGCAATAATATCCCTTTTTCTACGTCCTCTTCTGAATCTCGCTTGAATTTCTGGCGGTTCCCTGCCTATGTACTGCTGCAACCACTTTTAAATTATCTTCAGCATAATTTTACTTGCATGTGATATTAATGATGTTGTTCAATAATTTCCACATGCTGTTGGATCATCTTTCTTTTAAATGGGCATGAATATGGATCTCTTTCAGTTGGTTGGCCAGGTAGCTATCTTACAAGTTTCTTGGCATAAACAAGCGAGTGCTTCCAGCATTGCATCTGTTTGTTGAAACATCTTAATTGGTATTCCATTAATTCCTGGAGACCTGTTTTTTGCTTGTACCTTCAGTCCAGCTTGGACTTCTTCCTTCAGTACCATCGGTTCTTGATCATATGCTACCCACTAAAATGGTTGGAACATTGACCAATTCTTTTTTGGTACAGTGACTCTGGGTATTCCTTCCATTTCCCTTTGATGCTTCCTGCTTCGTTCAATAATTTGCCCATACCAAAAACAAAAATCAAACCCGTTGCCATTGACTCAATTCCAACTCATAATGAACCTATAGAAACCTTCAGTATTGCAACTCGAGGCTTGAATTTTTTTTCTTCAGTTCTTTCAGCTTGAGAAATGCCAACTATGTTCTTCCCTTTTGGTTTTCTAACTCCGGGTCTTCACACATTTCATTGTAATACTTTGTCTTCTCGAGCTGCCCTTTGAAATCTTCTGTTCAGCTCTATTATTAATTTCTTCCATTCACTTTAGCTACTCTACGTTCAAGAGCAAGTTTCAGAGTCTCTTCTGACTTCTATTTTGTTCCTTTTTTTTTCTTTTCTGTTTTTTTAATGACCTTTTGCTTTCTTGATGTATGATGTCCTTTATGTCATCCTACAACTTATCTGCTCTTTGGTCATTAGTGTTCAGTAGGTCAAATCTATTCTTGAGATGGTCTCTAAATTTAGGTGGGATATACTCAAGGTCATAGTTTGGCTATCATAGACTTTTTAATTTTCTTTAGCTTCAAATTGAACTTGCATATGAACAAATGATGGCCTGTTTCACAGTTGGCCCCTGAGTGACTTAACGCAATAAACTGAGTGGTGTAACACAATAAAAATTTATTCTCTCATAGTTTATTCATTGGAAATACCTTTTTTCAACATAAATGGTGACTATGCATGTGGACTTTGCTGGATGGAATGCACAGGAATCAAATCGACCACATTTGTCAAATGAGATGGGGGTAGACTGCTGCATCTTTCTCCCATGGATTGGCTAGTGGGTTCTAAATGCCAACCTTGCAGTTAGCAGCTGAGTGCATAACCACTGCACCACCAGACTCCTTAAGAATTCAATTTATGACATGCTAAATTTGAGGTGTCTATTAGTAGAGCTAGGAGCGCTGGTGGCATATTGGTTAACTGCTCGGCTGCTAACCAAGGGTTTAGCAGTTTAGACTCACCACCACTCTGCTGGAGAAAGATGTGGCAGTCTGCTTCCAAAAGATTTACAGCCTCGGACACCCTATGGGGCAGTTCTACTCTGTCCTATAGGGTAGTTATGAGTTGGAATCAACTCAATGGCAATGAGTACATTGATTAGGCAATTGAATATACATGTCTGGAGTTCAGGGGACAATTTCAGGCAAGAGATAAAATTTCAGAGTCACCACCATACAGACAATATTTAAAGCCATGAGGCTGGGTGAGATTAGAAAAAGGAGAGTGTACAGATAGAAATGAGAAGAGTTCCAGATCTAGAGAGGTTGAGGAGATGAGAAAGAACCAGCTAAATAAACTGAGAAGGAACCCCAGTGAGGCAAGAGGAAAATCAAAAGTATGATATCTTGAAATCCAAGATAAGAAACTACTCAAGGAAGACGGATCAACTGTGTCAAATACTAGAAATATATCAAGTAAGATATAAACAAAAAATTAACAATTACTTTAGCAATATGGATGGGGTAGACTGTAGTTTCCAAAAATAGTCACAGCAATATTTCAAGTTGTCACTCCCCACAGAGAGTCAGAGTCTGTTTCCACTTTCCTTGAACCTGGTGTGATTCTGTGACTGCCTTTATGAATAGAATACAATGAAAGAAGTGACACCACACAACTTCCTAGACTAAGCCATAAAAGGCAATAGAGTTTACACCTGGCTCTCTTTCAACACAGCCACCCGCCACCATGCTGGGAGGAAGCCCAAGTTAGCCCAAAAAGAAGAGATCACATGGAGAAACCCATATGGAAAGGAAATGAGGTTCCCAGACAAAACGTAGCATCAACTGCCAAACATGCACAAAAACAACTTTTCTGATGACTCAGCCCCCAGGCTTTGACTCATCTAGTCAAGGCCTCAGACACTGTGGAGCACAGACCAGCTGTTCCTGCTGTGCCCTGTTTGAATTCCTGAATAACAAAATCCATGAGCATACTAAATGATAGTTTTACACCACCAAGTTTTGGGGTAATTTGTCACAATAGTTTCATTGGAGTAAATACACAGGCCTTTGTTAACATTTATAGGAGTAGTTACAGTAGAATAGTGGGAGTGAAAGCCTGATTGGAGTGGGTTCAAGAGAGAAGAGAAGCCAAGGAATTGTATCTATCCAGTATATAAAATTTTTTCAGGAGTTTTTTCTATAAAGGAAAAGAGAGAAATAAGGTGGTAGCTGGAAAGAAACGTAGGGTCAAGAGAGGGATTTTGTTTAAGATGTGAGAAAATACATCATTTTTATATGA